GACCATCCTGGTCAACATGTTGAAACCCCGTCTCTACTAAAAATATAAAAAATTAGCTGGGCGTGGTGGTGTGTGCCTGTAATCCCAGCTACTCGGGAGGTTGAGGCAGGAGAATTGCCTGAACCCAGGAGGCGGCGGTTGTGGTGAGCTGAGATCGTGCCATTGCACTCCAGCCTGGGTAACGAGTGAAACTCCATCTCAAAAAAAAAAAAAAAAAAAAAAAAAAAAAAAAAAAAAAAAAAAAAGAACAGATTATTGTAGTTTACTTAATTATCTTCTCAGAATCAGAAAATCTCTAAAATCAGGTGGTATGACCAACTATAGACCCTTAGGATTTGGTTCCAAAAACCCTGCAAATACCAAAATCCACAGATGCCCAAGTTCCTTATATAAAATGGTGCAGTATCTGCATAACCTACGCAGATCCTTAGGTATACTTTAAGTCATCTCTAGATTACTTACAATACCTGATACAACATACACAGTTGTTGTACTGTTTATATTTGTATTACTTGTATTGCTGGACTGTTATTCCATTTTTCTAATATTTTTGATCCATGGTTGGCTGAATTTGCAGATGCAGAGCCCACAGATACAGAGGGCTGACTTGTATTTTCATTCATCAAAAATGTGTATTGATTTAGTTCAGTAAATGTTGAGTACCTACTACAGGCAAGGTCCTGATGGAGTTAGTTCCCATACACCAGACATGCAAAGAAATGTGGACACTAGAAATATTACCATACCATGATTATCACAACCAAGCCTTGCTATCCTGTCACAAAAAAGAATCATGCTCAAATGCTAGTTTTCACTGAAGAAACTAATGGTAATTAAAAAAAAAAACTCTATTCTATATTTTCATTTCATTAAAACAACATTGTGCAGCCTGAATCACTTTTATAATTGTCAGAGAAGAGACTGCAAGAATGATCAAATACATAATGACTAATTTATAGCTGTCTAGAGGGGAAGGGATGAGGGTTAACAGTCTTGCTTAGCTACTCATCTAGTCTCTGATTCATTTCTACCTTCCTATAACCTCAAGGAAAAAAACCAAGTAAATACATTTTAATTTCCCCATGTTCTAGAGACAGAAGTTGCTATTAATACCACTGCCAAAGACCTAATCAAACAGTCACAATCCCTGGAGTTACAGCTTGAAATATACAAAAATAAATTTCTGAAGTGCACAGGCTGGACACTCTGAACTAAAGCAGCAATCTGGTGCCCCTGTGTTGAATTTAGCTCAGAATATCACAAAAATATGAAAATTTCACATGAAAATAAGCTAGGAAAAAAAAAATTGGTAACTAAATGACCATATGTCAACAACCAACTAGAGTTAACACTACTGGCATTACCAGATACGGACCAGGAATCATAATCACTTGTCCTGCTTTTATGAATAACAAAACTGTCCAGCTAAAAATACCAATGGCATCCTCAACTGGTACAGCCTTGAAGCTCCTTGAGAGCAGGCAACTGTTCTCATATCTCTTCCTTCCTTCCACAAAAAAAAAAAAAAGAAGCCACAAAACAAAACAAAACAAAACAAAAAAACAGCAAAGTACTCTAGACAAAGAAAACAAACTTAAGGTTAGTTGATAATTTTGGAAACTTAAGTCAATATTCTTAAACACACAAGAAAAAGTAGTTCAGATATTAACCTAACTTGTTTCTTTTGTCTAAGTATGCTTCTGTATATTCCATAAATTATATCATCAGACTAACAGCTAAAACTGACATTTAGAGACATCATCAAATGTAATGGGTAATTCTAGTCAAAAGCTAAAGTTAGGAATCTCAGATTTAAGCACATTTCTATAAAGAAAGAAATCATTACAGCAAAGATATCAGGACAACTGATGTCTTGGCATGTAACACAAGAAATTTCAGTTTGATGACAATTTCTATACTTAAAAAAATCGAAAGCAAGAAATTATGGCTTAGCCTAATAATAAAATCCAATTTTTCTTTTTCGAGACAGGGCCTCGCTCTATTGATCAGGCTTGAGTGCAGTAGGGTGATCTCCACTCACTGCAACCTCTACCTCCCAGCTTGAAGCAATTCATGTGCCTGCCTCTGAGGTAGCTGGGATTACCGGCGCAGGCCACCAAGCCCGGATACTTTTTGTATTTTTTGTAGAGATGGGATTTCACCATGTTGGCCAGTCTGGTCTTAAACTCCTAAATTCAAGTGATCTGCCTGTGTCAGCCTTCCAAAGTGTTAAGATTATAGGCATGAGCTACTGTACCCGGCATGAAATCCAATTTTTAATTAAAGCACTGCAACCCAAGGTGTTCCGTATCTGGATCCACCAGTACCTCTCCTGGCCTTGTTTCATGTCCTCCCATCCCGCACTATCTTCCAGTGACTTCACTCCTGTGTTCTTGTCTTTCCCCCAAATCCTCATACTTCCGTACATCCTGCTTCTTTTCTCTACTGGCCAAACTTTTTCATTCATTCTATAATCCCTTGATCAAATATCACCCCTTTACTTAAGAAGTTGGGCATCCCTTTCCAACCTGTGTCCCATACAAGGTGCCTGCCTCATGGTAGAAACTCTATAAACACTTATAAAACAAGCAAATGAATTAAATGTTCATCTTTTGTCTGCTATCGTTAAAGTATTAACCAAATAATCCTGTTAATCTGCACTTGGTCAAGGAACTATATCATAGCCTCTCAGTAGGAACCAATTCACTCATTAAACCAAAAAAACAAGGCTGGGCGCAGTGTTTCACGCCTGTAATCCCTACACTTTGGGAGGCTGAGGTGGGTGGAGGTCAGGGGTTCGAGACCAGCCTGGCCAGTATTGTGAAACCCCATCTTTACTTTAAAAAAAAAAAAAAATTAGCCAGGCATGGTGGTGCGCGTCTGTAATCCCAGTTACTGGGTAAGCTGAGGCAGGAGAATCACTTGAACCTGGGAGGTGGAGGTTGCAATGAGTTGAGATGGTGCCACTGCACTGCAGCCTGGGTGACAAAGCGAGACTCCATCTCAAAACAAAAAAACACAAACAGCAGCAACAACACACAGACACAACTTCAGTATCTACCTACAGTGTGCGACACAAATTAATCCAACGTGCTGGTTCTAGTAAAATAGCTGGTTCCAGTAAATAAAATAGTTCCCTAAGTCTTCCAAACCAATCTCATAAAACCCGCTGACAGTTTGTCAGTTATATAAATCCTTCTGCTAGTCTAAACATGTTCAGAATTTCTTAAATTACGTGGGAAAAAAACCTGCAGAATATTAATGTTGACCTTTTGTTGATCATCCTTAATATTTCTGACATAAACAATACAGGTATATATTTATAATGTGTTTACATTAGATGTGCTACATTACAACGGATTTTATGAATTCTGATTTTGACTCAATGTTCCTTTAATTGTACCGGAAGGTAAAAAGTTAACTCCTAATGCAATCAAAACACACCACAAAACTGATTTCTAATTACCATTAGCTTAACACTAATTAAAAATGTCCAGCACCTAGTACAATACGCACAGTGTCAGAGAGAATAGGATTCTTTTGCTTACATGCAAATCCATATCAACACCACACATTTTGAAATTTTAAATATATCAGGGGAATATCCAAAAACGTAAAGTTCAAGTTAAGAAACCTTTCATTTTCCTAGAATACACGCACTATTTTAACAGTTTTCGTCTGGGAAAAGTGGTGCCTTCAGGGCAAATGTACGCACTACGTAATACAAAGAGGTCTGGTCAGTTTACGACTCTGAACAGAGAGGCAGATTCAAATTGAAACCTCCGGTATAATAGGCCTGAGGCCATTTTGAGAAATAAGGGGGGCGGACTGGTAGAATAGACTGACACGTAAATCCCGCCCTGAGGAAGACTGCTTTCAAGTCCCTTCCTTGTAAGGTGTGAAGGTGAATGGTACCTAAAGCGGCTTTAATTGCGAGAGGGAACAGAAATGAACTGTAAAGGCTACTTTAGTGACAGATCCCTTCCCTGGCTATGGCTCCAGGAAACAGACCCTAGTTCTTTCCCAAACTCATTACCAGAACCTTTCACTAAATGGTATGAAACTACCTACGCTTTATTCCCTAGAAGAGAATATGCATCTCGAGGAAACGAGGAGGCTAAGCTAGCTCACGGGAGAAACGCGAGTGCCGCAAAAGCGGGAGAAAGACTTAAGGCCTTCTTTGCGTAGCACGGGTCGGGGTTCTAACTGGATTAGACACTAAAAACACAAAACTGAGTTCTGGTCTCTAATCAATATTACCAACATGGGGAAACGTGTCTTTTCACATTTCAGCCCGGAAGGACACCTCTTTCCTCTTCCTCTTGCGCTGAGCGTTCGCGGCCTACTCAGTCAGCGGCCAATTACCATGAGCTTTCGGGATCCCGCCGCGCGGTCCGCACTTACCTGCCGGGCTCTCTGCAGTGCATCTTTGAAAGCGTCGTTAACTCCCCCACCACCACCGCCGCCACCACCGCCACCAGCTGAGCCAGAAGAGGGTGGAGGCACTGTTGAATAGTCCGCCATGGTTGCACTATAGGAGCCGCTGCGGCTTGTTCACAGACTTCCTCTCAGCTACCAGCTAAGAAAGAAAGAAAATGGCGGCCGTTGAAGCTCTATCACATTCTTGCGCGACCATCGTGTCGTAAAGGGGCGGAGACTGAAGAAAGGAAATCTCGCGATGTTTCCGAGGCAACGCGCTAGTCTGAGGCTAGGGCTGAGAAAGAAGGACCGGAACAGAGACGTCGCGAGAATTAAGTTTAAAATTTCGCGAGAATAGAGTTTCTTTTGGCGCCTCCTTTCCGCGTGATCTTGGGGTGAGGCTGGGTAATTGTTCCTGCAGGGTGGTGGGTGACGGTGGCGCGTTGACTGCGACTGGGTTAGGTGGTGGGAAGCCTGAAGAAAAGATTGTTTCTTACCGGTAGCCGCCTCAGGGAGGTAGTGCGGTATAATTTTCCGCCATGGGTCATTCTCGTTGACCGCGGGGAAGGGCGTAACAACGACGGGCGTGACGTCGACGCAGCAGTGTCACGAGAGCGCTGCCGCCCGAAGGGCGCCAGGAGAAGCGCGTCCAGGATGCCGCGCGGTGATGCTTCCGAAACCGTCTGCACTGCCTAGCGGGAACCGAGCATGATTTTCAGGGTAGTAAAGTGTCCCTGTATTTTACTTCCAGACTGTCAGATTTTTGAGTTTTATCCCAAGGGGAGGGTTGGTGAATTCAAACTGGAAGCTTGTTAGTTCTTGACCATATTTTAAGTTTTTGTTTAAAATAATGTGGATGTGGCTCTAACAATATGACTGTCGTTTTCCTTTTTTAAAATTTTTTGAGACGGAGTCTTGCACTTTCGGGCTGGAGTGCAGCGGCGCCATCTCAGCTCACTGTAACCTCCGCCTGTCGGGTTCAAGCGATTCTCCTGCCTCAGCCTCCCAAGTAGCTGGGATTACAGGCTCCCGCCACCACGCCCAGCTAATTTTTTGTGTGTTTTTTTATTATTATTATTTAGCAAGAGACTGGGTTTCACTATGTTGGCCAGGGTGGTCTCAAACCCCTGAGCTTGTGATCCGCCCGCCTCGGCCTCCCAAAGGGCTGGGATTAGAGGCGTCAGCCACCGTGCTCAGCCGACTGCCCTTTTCTTTATCCAAAAACGTGATTGTTCCCAAAGTTCAGTGTTAGTCAGATTTAGTAACTTAGTATTTGTACGTGTCCATGGCCATTGTTACTAAGGTCTCTTAAGAACAAAAAATTGATTTTTTAGCTTTTTAGGCATAGTTTCTCCCACCCCAACCTGTGAGTACTCAACTGTAACATAATGTTCTGAATTGTCATCACAGGACTAGGTATGTAGGTGTGTGTGTATGTATGTATATATATAAATTGGCATTTTCTCTTATGTACTTGTGTTACCAAGAAATTTTAGACATTTCTTCAGACCTTCTTCAACATATCGTGGCATGTAATTTACTGTGTTAATAGTAATAGTTCCAGGAATCGTTAGGATACATTAGAAGTGTTACTCTGTTTATCATTGAGTATATCACAGTGACTCTTTTTCCCAGAGTTATTTCTATTTAAATAACAAAGAATGAGATAAAATGAACTTTCTCAACTTTGTGGCATTTTGTCTTTGGTTAGGTCTAAGAAAAATACTTTTCCAGCAACTCTTAAGATTAATTGTGAGAAATACATGCTGCATTCTTCCTGAAAACCTGAAAGTAATGTGTTCACTTGCTCAGGCACCAAAATAGCAGTTAATATACAAGTAGATAGACATGAGCCATAATTTACCTTTAATCAGGTTTTCATGCCTTGTCGTATCCGTTTATAGTTCTGATCATCTCTTTCAGTATTTGTGGCCATCCCTTTAAATTGTGGTGGGATTTGCATTTGAAAAATCAGTGCACGTATTGGACTACAGGTTTAACCATATTATATAGAAAAACAGTAAAAGCAGTGTTGGGTGTGCAGCTAGGTAGATATTTTCCAGTTGTGTTTTGAGAATGTCTTGATTTTTTTCATATTTTATTAGACAATACAATCAGACCTTCTGATCAATCTAATTTACCAGAGTGCTGTAATTTACCTTCAAAACAAATTTCTGTATATTACAATTTAGTTATCACTCAATGTTGAAAATAAGGACCTCATTTTTTTTTTTTTGGAGACTCGCTTTGTTGCCCAGGTTGGAGTACAGTGGCATGATCTTGGCTCACTGAAACCTCTGCCTCCTAGGTTCAAGGGATTCTTGCGTCTCAGGCTCTGGAGCAGTTGGGATTATAGGTGTGTGCCACCATGCCTGACTAATTTTTGTTTTGTTTTGAGACAGAGTCTTGCCCTGTTGCCCAGGCAGGAGTACAGTGGTGCAATCTTGGCTCACTGCAACCTCCACCTCCCAGGTTCAAGTGATTATCCTGCTTCAGCCTCCGTAGTAGCTGGGATTACAGGTGCCCACCACCACGCCCAGCTGATTTTCAGATTTTTAGTGGAGATGAGGTTTCATCATGTTGGCCAGGCTCGTCTTGAACTCCTGACATCAGGTGTCTACCTGCCTCAGCCTCCCAAAGTGCTGGGATTACAGGTGTGAGCCACCACAACTAGCTTTTTTTTTTTTTTTTTTTTTTTTTAAGTAGAGACAGGGTTTCCCTATGTTGGCCCGGCTGGTCTTGAACTCTTCTCAAGTGATCCTCCTGCCTTGGCCTTCCAAAGTCTGGGATTACAGGCGTGAGCCCCTACGCCTGGCCGGGACCTCCATTTCTCTCTTTTTTTTGTTTTAGATTCTCTTGGGCGTATGGGTATTCTATAATGATAACCCGTTGGAATTAGTCTAGACCAAAAGGCATTTCTCAAGCTTAGCACTATTTACCTCAAATGACGTATCTCTGAGCTCTTCAAATATCAGAAAAGTGCTGTGAAAATAGAGATTATTATTATTAAAATATTTAATCCTCTGGTATTTCGTGATTAGAAACGAATAATCCACATCTTCCACTTAGGTAAATTTTTTGTAATAAACTGCTACATTCAAATCTTAGTTTTGGTAAAACTTGATATTCTGCAACAGCAACTGTATTGTGGGAAAATATTAGCTAATTATTTGGCTAAATATGTGTTACTTCTGAGTTCACAAAATCTTGTGATTAGCCATGGCAAAGTAAAATCTTAGCCGTTTGTACTTCGCTGGTTACTGTAGCTAGTTGTTCCCCAGGCTGGTCTTGAACTTCTGGGCTCAAGCGATTCTCCTGCCTTGGCCTCCCAAAGTGCTGGGATTACAGGCTGATTCACCATGCCCAGCCAGGATAACTTTTCATTGTTAATTTTTTTTTTTTTCTTTTTTTTTTTTTTGGGATGTAGTTGCTGTTGCCCAGGCTGGAGTGCAGTGGCACGATCTCAGCTCACTGCACCCTCCGCCTCACGGGCACCTGCCATCATGCCCAGCTAATTTTTTTTTTTTTTTTTGAGATGGAGTCTTGTTCTGTCACCCAAGCTGGAGTGCAATGACACGATCTTGGCTTACTGCAACCTCCACCTCCCAGGTTCAAGCAGTTCTCCTGCCTCAGCTTCCCAAGTAGCCGGGACTACAGGCACGTGCCACCATGCCCGGCTAATTTTTGCATTTTTAGTAGAGATGAGGTTTCACCGTGTTAGCCAGGACGGTCTTGAGCTCCTGACCTTGTGATACACCCACCTTGGCCTCCCATAGTGCTGGGATTACAGGTGTGAGCCACCGAGCCCGGCCTTAATTTTTGTATTTTTAGTAGAGATGGGATTTTGCCACGTTGGCCAGGCTGGTCTCGAACTCCTGACCTCAGGTGATCTGCCCGCCTCGGCCTCCCAAAGTGCTGGGATTACAGGCGTGAGCCACGGAGCCTGGCCTTAATTTTTGTATTTTTAGTAGAGACAGGGTTTTGCCTTGTTGGCCAGGCTGATCTCGAACTCCTGACCTCAGGTGATCTGCCCGCCTTGGCCTCCCAAAGTGCTAGGATTACAGGGGTGGGCCTCCATGCCCAGCCAAACCTGTTGTATTTTTACAGTGTTTTTTTGTTTCCCTTTTAGAAGCTGCTTAGTTTAAGAAGCTCCTGAGTTACCAGATACGTTTTCTCTGATTTGGATGTAAAATTTGATAGTATTTTCTAAATGAAGGATTGTTAGAGGACTGAAGATTATTAGGATATTGCTCATGTCCATTGATTTCCCCTAAATCCAGCCTTTTAACATCCTTGTCATTTCTACCTCTTCACAGTCTCTAGGTCTTTGCACATACCTTTTTGTGAGGAACACACATCTGATCCCTTCCATTTTACTGTTGCCTGGGATGTCCCTGTTTTTTCTAGAAAGCCTATTTAAAACTCTAACTTAGAGATCTAATTTGTTCTCGTGTACCATATTATGGTAATTATACTATGATTTACTGTTTGTTTGGAATTCCCACTAGATTCACGGTCCATAACAGTAAGGGTTATCTGTATGTTTTTGTTTTCACTTTATAGCACACTGTAAAACAGAGTTATAGCTAATAATAGCTAATGGTATTTAATGGGCACTGTTCTAAGGGCTTTACACTTAGAACTTAGTGTATTAATTCATTTATTCTCATAATTGGCTTTATGATATAGGTGCTGTTAATATCTCTGTTTTGCTGAGGTATAGATATGTTAACTAACTTACTCAGGGTCACATATTAGTGTTAGAGCTGCAGTTGAACTCAGGCAGCCTGACTTGAAAGAATGGAACTGTCTATAGACAGGTAGGCGAGGTGTGGTGGCTCACGCCTGTAATCCTAGCTGAAGTGGGTGGAACACTTAAGGTCAGGAGTTAAAGACCAGCTTGGCCAACATGGTGAAACGGGGGTCTCTACTAAAAATACAAAAAAATTAGCAGGACGTGGTGGTATCATGTCTGTAGTCCCAACTCTGGAGGCTGAGGCAGGAAAATCACTTGAACCTGGGAGGTGGAGGTTGCAGTGAGCTGAGATCATTCCACTGCACTTCAGCTTGGGTGATAGAGTGAGACTGTCTCAAAAAAAAAAAAAAAGACAGTTAATGAGATGTATCTGTTTATAATTTCTAGTGTATGGTTCATAACTTAGTATTTTCATTTGAATTTTTAAATTATTTGCATTAGTTTTTGTCAAGACTTAAGCCAAAATTCTTCATGGGAAGGCAGCTCTTTATGTAAGGCAAAAATAGATTTAACTTAAAAATATGAAGAATCACATGTTGTATAACATGATACAAACTTGTTTTTTTGTACTGCTAATTGCTTTGGATAGGTTAATATGCCTAACATAATGCTTTATGGTAGTGTGTGTATACACATCTCTATATAAACACATATATATTTGACGATGACTGACAACTAGTGTTATTTTTCAGATACATTATTCAGGGGGTTTATGTGCAGCATCTATGACAGTGTTTATCCTATTTGTTTATATTGGATTCCTCTACAAAATAGCCCATCTGCCAAAAGGAGCATATCATAAAGACGTTTTAGATTATACTGTTATGGAAATCTGAATAAAATTCTTGATAGCTTAATCTTTTGGAATAATTAATGCTTGAGACAGGTGTTCTTTGTGAAAATATGATAAATAATCTCTGCTTTTTAGGACTTCTTCAATGAAGCTGGGAGGAATATTTAAGGG